GAACAAGAATGTCGGAATTCTGGCTATGGAAATTTACTTCTCTCCTACTTGCATCCAGCAGGTATGCAATTCGTACCTGCAGAAACAGACGGCTATTAGTTTTTTTTTTGCTGATTTTTTCATAAACGAAAAAAGAAAATGATTTTTTTTTGCTTATTAGAGTTTGTGGGCCCCGCAATCAGGAAGAAAATAATAAAAAATAAAAAATTAACGGAGGAAAGGGCTTGACCGTCAATTGACTAAAAATTTTTGTTAAATTGACTAAAATTGATGAAAAAATATTTTAGGGAACTATTTTTCCCAATTGAAAATTCATGCTGACTCGATCTTGCTACTCTCAAAAACTAAAGGATGAAAAGTGCATCCGGTCCTGTGTATAGAAAAAAAAAATGGCGAACCAACTTATGCAAACTAATAATTGTGAAACGATAGATAATTAGTTGTTACATATGACTATGAATTTCCTAATACAATCAAACAAGATTTCCTAAATCACCATATAAAATCTATAAGGCTCTGTTTGGTTGCATTGAATTGGGGCCAAGAATTGGAATTGGAGCTCTCAAATTCTAATTTTTGTATTTGGTTGATAAAAATAAAGGTGTAAGAATTAGAATTACAATACTTTTTGGGGTTCAATTCTTTGTTTTCAATTCTTTTGTAGGAGCAAATAATTCGAATTCAAATTCAAGGGACTTACAAAAAGATCGCGGGTCAAAAAACGGGTCAAAACTGGATTATAAGAAAGTGGGTCTTCTAAGTAATGTGAAGCGCTGCTTCCCTTTTTCTATTTTTGTTTTTATTTTTATTTTTTAGTTTTTCCTCCTATAAAACCGGTTTACATTTTTGAGCGTGTATTGCTTCTTTTTTCCAATTTTTCATTTTTTTTCCTTTTCGTCTTTTTCTTCAAATTTTCATTTTCAAAATCTCTCTCTTTAACTCAATATATATATATATATATATATATATATATTTTGTTGTAAAAAATTTATCAAAATATTTCCATACCTAAAATGTATTAGAAAATATTTAAAAGTGACTGCATTTCCTTCAGTCAAAGAACCTTTTTTCTTATTATATTATAGTAAATGATATAAATTTTTTTCTGAATTTTTTCTCAAACAATTATTCAAATTATATACATTTTGTGCACTAAAACTAATACTTTCTTGGTCCTAAAATGATTGTCCGGTTTAGATTTTCAGTATAAATTAAAACTTAAATTGGAAAATTGTTTTATGACCGTGAAAATATAATTTTTAAAAAATTTTAAAAATAAAATGAGAAAAAACAAAGAGGTTTGACTTGGGACTTAATTTTTTATTGAGTGGGAATTTACTTTCACTAATAGATTTACGCAATAAAAAATTTTTACACGTACATAATAAATTATGATAGCATACATTTTTAATACAGTACTAAAAATGAAAATCTAAACTGGATAAAAATTTTGGAATAAAAGAGTAGTTATTAGCATATGAAATTTAATGTATATCTATATATAAAAGAATACTAATATGCATAAACTGATTTTTATATTAAATATTAATTTTTTCATTAAAAGATATGAAGAAATTCCAAATATTAGAAATTAAAAATGTTAAAATCTAATAAAAGGGGGAGAAACAACAACGGTTTACTCATTATTTGTTGTGTCTGAGTGAAAATATCAACTATCATATTAATAATGCTTACGTGATTAAAGAAATCATAAATGTCTAATGTATATAATCAATTACAAAATTGATATAAGAAATTAAGAATTGTATTTGTATAAACAAATTATATACAAAAATGTATTTTTTAAAAAAGAAAATAAGAATTGTTTTTATTATTTAGAAACAAGTAATTCCAATATGTACATTGTAAGCATCCAAACGCAAGAATTGATATTAGAACCTTAATTCTAATGAATTCTTAAGATCTCTCAAACAAAAGAATTAAGATTGAATTACAATCTCAGATCTCATTTTCAATTATTTTAGATTATAATTCTAATTTAATTCTAATTCATTCTAACCAAAAGGAGCCTAATATTTTTCTATTCAATTATTACTTTCTTTTTTAAAAATTTTATTAACACCCTAACCCAGAATTCGATGAACTTTTAGGGACCATGTCAAAATCTAATTGAATGATGTAAGAAATGGTGTAGTGTAAAAAGTCTTTTGCTGTTATATTTAATTCACAAAAAAATATATATTTATATATGTTTAATGTCCATAATCTATGTAGCCTCCGCAAAAGAATCTTAATTACGTTTTCACCAACATTGATCGGTAAACCTGTCAAAGGTGAAAATGTGCATTTAACAGAAATATGCAAAACAAGATTTTTTTTTTCAGTAATGAATTTTTTTTTTTTTGAAATACGACATTAATGAAGGGTGGCGTATCCAAAAATGTCCCCAAAAAAAGAAGACATTTCTGCAAGCAGGAAAAGTGTTCCAAAATTTTCCTATGAAAAAAAAAAAAAAAAGAAATGCTACAGATGGAATGAGCCAGATATTACACCCTTCGTTGTCCTGAAATAATTGTTTAATGTATTATACGAAAAATGATAGAAAAATTGTACTAGGAGAATATTATATTTACATGTTCACATATAAAATTAGAAATCAGCTGGCCGTGATATTCGTGGTAGAGGAATTTTGACTGTTGTCTGATTCGTTTCTCCCACATGGATACTCTGAAGAAATCAAGAAGCATCTCAGCCAAACAATTGAGAACTTCATTTGTTAGGTTAATGATGGTTTTCCTGTTGATTAATTTTATTAATAACGTTAAAAATGTCTTTGTTTCAAACAAAACAAAATGCGACAAAGGAAAAATCTTTCGAAGATATACAAAATCATTGAAATCTTTTGAAAACTATGCCAATCAGTCCACAATTGGCAGTTGGATGATATTGATTAAATCTCTATGCCAACGATCGGGTAAGGTTTTTTGTTTTTTATTTTTTTTTTTTGAAATAGTACTTGTTTATTAATTAAAGATACCTAGACTATTACAATACATTCTATTATAAGTTAAATTATGTAATTCATGAACGTTTTGTCTACTTACTTTGATCAGTTCACAAGATTGAAAAAAAGAGATTAGTGAGAGTAAAAAGGAGGTAATTTCCTGAGTTTCAGTTCGAATTAAAGTTGATCTTAAATTCTTTATTTACACTTCACAGTCAGTGTGGAGTTTAATTCTAGTAATACTCAGATTTGCAGCCTCCTATAATACAAAAAGACATGTCATTTCTTCCACTTGAGATGGAGAGAGGGTATTTACATCGACTGTCTTGAGTTGCATAACCACATCATGATGCTGAGATGAATTTCCACATCACGATCCGGGAAGTTAAAGGTACGTTATTTTCTAGTAACTCTTTATTAGTTCAGCATGCACCTGTAAAGTAAAAAAAAATTGTGCAATTCAATAACACAAAGGGGGTGAAAAAAATATAGAAAGAAACACGTCAACTTGACATTTTGGATCAGCACAATAACCTCATCAGTCCCACTTTTGCCTTTGTCTTTTGAAAACCACGAGAAAAGATTCTTTTCTTAATTATTAATTGCCTTGGTTCTGATCAGGACTGAATCGAGCATTCTGACAAGTAAATATATACATATCTTCGGATATTGGAACAAATCTTCAGTCTAATCCGGATGAACCTTTTGAGAAAACAAATCTTATACTCCCCTATTCTAAAATAAATGTCGTTTTAGCAAAATAGAGAAATTCAAAAATAAGTGTCGTTTTTAGATTTTGATGCATTTTTTATCAAAAATTTTTAAACATACCCTCAAAAAAAATAATATTATTGGTGAACATTTATTTTAATGTGGTTGGTTGAGGATATTATAATAATTTAGTTATCATATTTAATGTTTTCTTAAATTATGTGCAAATTATGAAATAATACTTATTTTGAAACGGAGGGAGTACTTAATAATTAATTTGCTTGGCAGAACGTGATCTCATAACCTACTTAACGGAAAGTACAAGATATATACGTACTTATAATATTTGATCTAAATAATTATATTTACAAGTAAAGCCTTGTTTATCAGAGCAAATAAGATCTTCTTACTTTCGGCGTTAAGTATATCTCAATGATAATAAATAATGTAAATTTTGACACTATATATATATATACATATATATATATATATATATATATATATATATATATATATAGTACATCGATGCATTTACTTAGCCAAAAGGAAAAAAAAATCAATGTCTTTTGATCTACAAAATGGTCTGAAATTTGTATTTACTGTAAGTTAAATAAGTACTCTCTACATTCTAAAATAAGTGTCATTCTACACTTTATACATAGTTTAAGAAACTCTTAAATAAGGTAGTAAAATTACTAGAATATTCTCAACTAATCCCATTAAGAAAATGTCTACCAATAGTATTAATTTTTTTTAGGGTAATTTTGGAAACTTCTGATAAAAAGTGCATTGAAATGTAAGAACGACACTTATTTTGAAAGTTTTATATTTTGCTAAAACGACACTTATTTTGAAACGGAAGGATTATCTTTTACGCTGAGCTGTTTTGCTCGCATAATTACCAGACTGCGATGCAAAATGAACAAACTTTATGACTCGAATTGAGTGATATGTATAGTCACATTTAAAGGTATCACTTTACCAATATTTACAATTTTTTTTTTCATATTTGCAGGGTGTTCACTATCAGTAATAACGACTAATCTCCAGCGCTGAATTATATTGTAGGCACCTCGATGGGTAAGACAGCTGGCCAAATTATTTAAGCTTGCTCCATACCCATGGCAAAGTTCTCCTCCACCGCAACCACTTTAGTTTAATATTTACAAAATTTGAACATCGAATCTAGAGAATATATATATATATATATATATATATATATATATATATATATATGCATTTAAAGGTGAGCTCAATTATAAATACAAGGTAGTAGAAGTGCCTTTCATCCCATCATCATTTTAGTCTTAAGTGAGCTCCGAACATGGCTACTCCTTCAAAGTTCCAATTCTCCTTGAGTCTTCTTCTTCTTTTCCTAGCTTTAACACCTCTTTCTTTCTCCATAGTTCCGACTATGGCTTCCAACCATCAACTCCAATATTGGTCCGAAAATGTCGTCAACAACATGCCTAAAGCCATTGCATCAAAACTATCTTCACTGTCCAAATATGACACAAATTATTTCGCTTCCTTGGTATCATCAAACCAAAGATTCTCTTTTGATTATGCAAATTTCTGCTCCAAGGCTAAGTTATTCTGCTCATCAACATCGAATCAGACCCCTCAAAAACTTAGCAATGGATACAACTCATACTCTAACAATAGACATGCCTCAAATGACGCTGACCCAAACTCTTTCTTTAGGCAGTCAATCCTCAAAAATGGGAACAAAATCCAGCTACCAAATTTGAATGATCGAATCCCTTTTCGTGCATTTCTTCCTTCTCAAATTGCATCAAAGATATCAACCACTGACTCTAATGAACTTCAAAAAATGTTTCCGGAGTCATTCACTTCCCCTTCCACAAAAGAAGCCATTGAAAGTAGCATTTTGTATTGTAGCTCTGCCAGCTTGAAGGGTGAGATTAAATCCTGTCCTAATTCGCTTGAGGAAATGATAGAATTCTCCAAGAAATCTTTGGGTGTAAAGAAACTGCTTGCATTAACTAGTCAAAGCTCGAAAGGGTCGAAACAGGAGCTTGAGATTCAAAACATCAAACAATTTCATTCCGAAAAAGTTGTGTCATGTCATGAAGTTTTCTATCCATTTGCTACTTACTTTTGTCATGTGCTCTCCTCTACTCGACTCTACGCCGTCGATGTCATCGATCCGGCGACCAAAGCTCCCGTGAACAGAATCCTTGCAATATGTCACATGGATACGTCGGAATGGCCGTCGGAACATGTGGCGTTTAAGATTTTGAAGTTTTCTCCGGGACGTGGCGAGGCGTGCCACTGGTTCAGTCAAATTGATCTTGTTTGGTTGGGAACTATTTAATGGAGAAGTTGATCGAAAGATATTCTGAAGTACTTGAACTTTCAGGTCTCCAATTGAACGTTGGATTTGGATTGCTCGAATGAGATCAATAATCGTTTTTCTGGCTGTCGTGTGTGATAATTTAGGTTTCCCTTTTATGTTGATTGTGGTTTTGTTGTTTCCAAGTTGAAGTGAAACCTTCTCTTCCTTTGTTAATTACATTTACATTTTTGTGCTTCAATCCAGTTGTGAGGGATTTCTTTTTTCTGTATTTAATGTTTGTGTATTATAATTATCTAATGTTTGTAATACTACTTTCGGCCCAAATGATAGGCATCTGTGGTGAACAAAATGTTGCTAAATTTTGTTGTTACGGAGATAAATATCACGCTCGATTTATTCCGGTTTGGGTCATGACGTTAAATGAGTATAATACTTCTGCAACGCGGTTATGTAACTTCATGCATGTCCTCTAACATGTCCGTTATTGTTATGAGAAAATATCCCACATGCTCGATTTGTTATTTGTAATTTGTACTACTCCTTCTATTTCTATCATATAGTTTGTTTTAAGTTTGAAAAAGCATTTTATCATATAAGCTGTTTTAGGATTCAATACAAATTTATTACCAACTTTTCAGCTTTGCATTCAATAAATAATGCCAAGTCATTTTTCAATTAGTCTTGTTTATAATTTCAATAAAATTAATAAAAAATATATCGGATTTATATTCGTATACAAATTAATTTTTAAATAATTATATCTTTAATAAATATGATCAATCTAAAATAATTTACATTTTGAGATTGAGGAAGTATATATAACTTAAACACTTCATAATTATTTAAGAGACTAATACCCTTAGTTAACTCTTGAATGCCATTGATCGGAAAACATTTACCAAGTTACAACATATTACTTTAGTTCCAAAATATAGTACACATCGAATTTCCCGACGTTCACGCAGATCCGTCCAGAGAACCGAAGCAACTTCGCAGTGAGGAACAGTGGAACGAGCGGATGGCTCGATGGAATTACGCAGCCAGAAAACAATCAAAGATTGGTTTGTCCACCAATCCTCAAAATCGGGTGACGTCGCTGGCGGTTGAGGAAGCGAGCCATCAACAAAATCAAATTTCTTACGCGCTCACAAGGCAGTACGAACAGCACAGCACCATTCATCATAATTATCAGTCTTCAATATAACCTGAGTGATCGGCGTGCCTGGATTGTCACCGACAGTAAGGTCGTGCGAAGTAATCGTACGACGTTTCGGAACATTGGGAACCGGCGGCGGAGCAGCAGTACCAGCGGAAAGAAGGGTGGGAGATGGAGTACTGGATTCTTCAGCACCGTGCGCCATGAGGCAAAGACGACGGGGATTTTTTTTTTTTTGTTTTTTTTTGAAGAAGGAACGCCGATCAGAAACCGGCGGAAAAAAAAAAAGAAACTGGCGGCAGAGAAAGCACAATTTGATCAGAAATCGGCAGCGGCTGAGGACAGCGGCAAGCAGGAGCCTGACACCGGACGGCGAGCAGAGAACGGAGCCACCGACGACTGGCCGAGAACGGAGCCGGCGATGCAGAAAAAGATGCCGTGAACAACAGCAGCAGAAAAACTGAGCAAACAACAACAACAAAGCAACAACCGCAGCAGTGAGAAAGAAAGTAGCAGCAGATGAAATCGGCAGCGGCAGGAAGAAGGAACTGACGGCGTGTGCACAGAGGGCTACAAATTCCAAAAACGGACAGCAGCAACAAACAGAAGCAGCAATGAATAGGGACGGTAGCAACAAACAGCAGCAACAACGTCCAAAAACGAAGACGGGCTGCAAACCGAACTAAAAAACAGGGGGCAAATAAGAAGGAGAACGATGGCGGGTCAAAATTACGGCAAAAATAAAACCCTAAAAAAAATAATTGATGGCCCAAGAGAGGCTCGATACTATGATACAAATAAAGTGGCCGGCATAAAACATGATACTGTATTGATCGGTCCACAGAGGGACTATATATACACATCATTTAGGGTTTACGGTGGAAATCCTAGTACGTACAAAGGACGAAACTAACCCTATACAAATATATATACATGTATCGTAACATAATTTTCAATAATTAATGTGAACTTTTTTTTGGGGGGGAACAGAGGAGTATTATTTTGAGTTAAAATGAGGATGAAAAGTCATACATTTTGATCGTTTGGCGTAATTACTTTTGCGATTTGATGAGATTTTTTTTATATATATACCTGGAATCTGGGATCCGAAGTTATGTATACAAAAGCAACTCATGGGGAGAGCTGTCGTAGGAATTTGATGAGACTTTGGGATGCGCTAAAGAATTCGATGCTCTCAATAGAGGGAGAAAATGGGCCGAATAATTGGGCAGCCTTGTCATTAGTTTTTGCTGAGTGTCCTCTAAATTGGGCTACAACCAGTTGTTTTGGCGTCCAAATCAATCCAATAGCTGAAGATTGGAGACGTCATTATTTGGTTTAGTCGCTTGAAATAGGCACAAGTGCTGAACACATCCTGTTTTGAAAAGCCCTTGTCTACTGGGAAGGAACCAAGTTTAGTGAGATATTCCCTTCAAAATTGGGGAAATTTCTTGAAATGTAGCATGAATCCTTAGCAAATGTAGCACGAATTTTACACAATAACGACGACGATACATGATCGTCAAAGCGATCCGCCAAGATATTTTTCAGAAAAAAGTACTCTTTGTATTCAAAATGATTGTCCTACTTGTATTTTTATTTTAATTTAATTTAAATTTAAAATTAAAATTCAAACTGAATAAATATTTCAAAACGAAGGGAATATAAATATAAATGAGATAGAAACAGAGTAATAATAATGACTACAATGATGGCCCAAATGGAAAAAGAACCACTGAAGACAAATCCTACTAGATTTTAAGCACCCAAGGTTTCAAGATGTTACGCATAGATCTAGCTCATTTGTGGAAAAGTAGATTAACTTGTATGTAGATTAACAGGATATATATCATGCTACATAGAGGACAAAACTGTCCGTGAAGTGGCTGATTCCCGTGATGAGATTGGTGTTTTATGGGAAGGTTTTTTTTAGCTCAATTGAAACCGCTAGTCTTTCCCTTAGATAACTTCACTGTGATCCGTAAATAATCGGTCCATAAATGCTTCTTTGAATTGATTTCCTAGTTACAGGGTTGGATTAGCAGCATTACGAAGTTCAAAATTGGTACGTATTCCCTTTATCTCATAATTATTGATGAGTTTGTGTTTTCATTATGCGCCACCACCTTAAGTAGGTCATCCTTTTTATTCATTTTCAATTCTCATGATTTTTTCCTTTTTTTTCCCCCCCTGAATCGCTGAAATTTATCCAGCCAGAAGATAAGAAAAAATCGACGAGTCCCGGTGGACGTAGGTGAAAATTGTTGGAATGTTGGCTACCCCGAAAAACAAGGTAATCTTTTCATGAAAGAAACATAGCCTTCAAAGAGGAAGGACTTTTGTGCTATGTGTGAACGCTTAAGTGTACAATATCTTGTAACTAGCTCTCATTTCCTTTCGAAACGAAAATTTCCATTAACTAATTTAAACAAGTATTACAAAGCGAAGGCTTTTCAAAATTGTAAAGCTATACATTTGTCAAAGCAACTTCTAATCCAACGAAAATGATTTGCTTGTGTTGATGTGATTGAAACTTTCCAAGGAATTGTTTTGATGAGAATCTATATCTAGGCTAGTGTAATTGATATTCCGGTCCTCTGTCTCAAAAAAAAAAACATAATAATAAAATTTCCATTATAAATTGTAGTACAATTTAAAACTTACAATGTAGATTATTTTTATGAGACAAAAGAAGTAGTAAATTAAAATAGTTCTCAAGATCTTAAAAATGAAATAGATACAGTTGGGCTGAATCGTTTTTAGTATGAGTTATGTTATTTGTTGTCCCCCTAAATCCTAGAGAGCGCCCTCTTTGGACAATTATACCCCTGTCATAATTTGAAACCTATAAATTACTCCCTCCGTCCCATAATTATTATCCAGTTTTACTAAAATGAAAGATTTTATTTTTAGTCAAATTTAACTATATTTTACCTTATACAACCGGATATACCCCTACATAAGTAATTGTTTAACCACTAAGATTTTATGGATAATGTTTTTTACTAAGGACAAATATGTAACTTGATTCATAAAAAGTCAAATTGGATAATAATTTTGGGACAAAATTTTTTGGACAAAGTGGACAATAATTATGGGACGGAGGGAGTATTTTGTTCTATTCCTAAAATTTAGGAGGTAAATTCGTCCAAAGGGAGCGCTACCTAGGATTTAGGGGTACAAATAGCAGCCCACCTCAGAATAGCGGTCTCTAATTTGACGCAACAATGGTTATATGGTGGTTTTGAGAGTCAGAAGATGTATATGTAACTACGTGCCGAAAATTCTTCGTGGAGCAATATGACGCGCTTGATAACTAAAAGCGACTCAAAAGTTCTATTAGTTAAACCTATATATAAAAATTAAATTGAACTTTAGATTCTTTATTAGCTTCGATGGCATTTCTTCACGAGATTTTCAATAATCCACTAAATTACTAAGATCAATCGCTGCTCTTGATTATGATTTGATTGATGGGTTCTATTTACCTCTTAGATATAAGAAGTAGCTATCGTAGTTGCAAAAATTGCCATGACATTTCTTTTGGTATGTTAGGGAAACCATAGGTTGATGTGCGTAGCTATATTGACAATAAATGAACAGTGGGTCAAAGATTCAATTGTTTTGCTTCGTCCCTCACCATGTGATATGTTTTAAGTTGGAATTCAAATCAAGCAATTCTTGTCAAACAAGAGAAAAGCGTCCGCTCTAAATTTTGTTACTAACAATGGAAATTCTTCATTGTTGGTGTGGATTGTTACTCTAAAATCAAAACAACACTTTTCTTCAATAAAATGCCAGGTTTCATGACTCCTTTTTATTAGCAATATATAAAGGACAGAACATCATTAATTAGGGGTGTTAGTTGGTGTTATAAATTTTATTTTCATAATTGACTGGGTGGACACTGCATCTCAAAAAAAAAAAAGTTGATGTTGTTGGAAATTATATTTTGATTAATTACCACAGGGAAATCTAATTCCTTCGTAATAAATCTAGGTAAAAGATTTTGCACATATTTTTTGCGTAACACAATTTACACTACTCATTTTATTTCGACATGTATAAAATCTTTACCCAAAAGTTTATTTTAACCTGAACGTGCTTTTCTGACGAAGGTTCTCTTTTCTTGTAATGGCTCTTTGTTTCAAAAAAGCGAAAAAAAAAAGAAAAAGAAAAGAAAAAAAAGGTTGAAATTAGAATTGGTTTGCCTTCCCACCCCCTGAAAAGAAAAGAAAACAAAAACAAAAAAGATTAAATTAATTGGTTTAGACTTTAAACATTGCAATTAATTTCCAATTAATTTCTCTTTAAAACTTCCCATCACGACTCACCTGCACTTGACATCAAGATCAAATTTCCCTCTAATTTCGTTTTGAATACAATGTTCGGGAAAAATAATATCATAACTATTTGGCATTGTGTTTTTTCTTTTTGTTTGAGAACAAACAAACTTTCATTAAACATTACTGGAAATGGTCCAGCACCGAAAGAGATACAAAGCTTAAAGATTCACTCCATAATTGTTCAACAACATCTGAAGATGTAGCAACGTTTAGCAAAGGAATGAGAAATAAAATTATCAACTCTATGAATCCAAGAAAGATGACGAACTGATAATTCTTGACAAAGAGAGATGACATCTTCTAAAATAGGCGAACAGGAGGATGGTCCATCAACTTCATGAGTTGCAGGAAGAATAATGAGAGTAGAATTACCCTGGACAGAAACTGAACTCAGCCCTAACCTTTGACATAAAAGGAGAGTTTCGCGGAGAGCCAAAACTTCAGCAAGATCAGAGTCTACTATATCAGGAAATTGGCGGGAAAAATCATACATAAAATTTCGTACCACCCCAAAAACCTTTTGAAAACAAGACATTTCAATTGGATATCTTCAAATTCACATTTTTATTTTTATTTTTCAAATAGAGGTTGAAAAGAATTCTATATCGATGAGGCAGCACCAAAGGAAAATTCGTGGATTATTCAAGTTTTACTTCGCTACGGATGGTATTGCATTGGGGTTATTTTCAAATTCAATGACCTTGGTTTGTCGAATCGAGCATTTCTTCGTATCTTCGAATTCTTGGAAATCGGGGACCAATAAGGCAATAACCTACTTTAAACCCATCGACAGTGAAGAGTTTACCGACAAGAATCTGAGATAATATATGAATTTAATAACTGACTCCAGTTGGTTTTAAAACCCATCGTCCATTCTTTCGATCTAATAAGATACAATACTCTTACTTTGTACATCTTGATTGCCCTTCCAGTTTGTATTTTTTTTAATTATAACGCACCAATTTGAAAGAGTAAACTTGATTTTTCCTCCTTAAAATAATAATTTAGAAAATTAAAACGAGGGAATATGTGTTTTATAAATAACAACGGAAAAGGGTGTACTCGTTACTAAAACTATATTAAATCTATGAACTTTATTTAGCCTACCCGTTTCATTCCTTTAAAAACAATCGTATATGTTCTTTTCCCTCAAAAAAAAAAAATCGTATATGTTCTTTTTTTTTTTTTTGTAAAAAAAATAAGCCACACTACATCCAGCCTGAAATACTTGTCAAGTTTAAATTATTTATTTTTTTGTTTAAAATTATACTAAAACTGAATATTAACACAGAATATTTTGGGACATAAATAGCATTTGTGTTAACTTGACATTTAATTATTAGTATGCTATCGTTTTTCACCTTCGTTTTTCCCTTTAACTAAATATGGTTTCGATCGAGTTTCGACTAAGAATTGCCAATATATCCCACCTCGCTCTCTTCATAAAACAGTGAACGAAGCAAATACCCTAAAACAAATATTTAAAATGTCACTTTTATGCTGTATAAAACCCATACTAATCATATCATGTGACTAAGGCATAGCCTAATGTTAATATTTCGTCGAGAGTAATTTAGTCAAAAGCACAAGACGCGTCAAACGCATACGTATTTTTATTTCTTTTCATCCCAAAATGGATATTATTTTCTGAATTTCAAATGAAATCTAAAAGATGAGAACGGCATGGACATACCATAACCTCTAATTAATTCAAGAGGAGAAAGGTGCCAACAAGCAATCACTAATTAGATGATATTTGTGTATGTACTGAAACCATACTATTATTATGGAAACACTTAAATAACAGTACCATCAGGAGGTCAGGTTCGACTATGATAATCCTATTTTTATTAGGGGGAAAAAAAAAAACGACAAAGAGAAACAGTTGAGCTGAACTATATATACAAGGTGGTAGAAAAGCCCTATATATCATCCCATCATTTTAGTGTAAGTGAGATCAGAACCTTTACATGGCTACTCCTTCAAAGTTCCAATTGTCCTTGAATCTTCTTCTTTTCCTAGCTTTCAATGCTTTCTCAACATTTTCATCTTCCTCTGTTTATTCCATTGATCAACTCCAATATTGGTCCAAAAATGTCCTCAATACCATGCCCACTTCCATTGCCTCAAAACTTTCTCCACTTTCGAAACACGACTCTAATTATTTTGCATCCTTCGTATCATCAAAACAAAGATTCTCTTTTGATTATGCTAAATTCTGCTACAAGGCTAGGTTAGCCTGCTCCACAACAACAAATCAGACCCGTCAGACTTTAGATAATATTAGATACAGCCAGATTAACTATGGTATCAAAGCACAAGCCTCAGATGCAGTAGTGGCTGTCCCAAACTCTTTCTTTAGGCTCTCAATCCTCCGAAAAGGGTACAAAATACGTCTACCAAATTTGAATTCTCAAATCCCTTTTCGTTCTTTTCTTCCTTATCAAATTGCCTCAAGGATTTCCATTACTAATTCTACTGATCTCGAAAATTTTTTTCCGAACTCATTTGCTTCAGCTGCCACAAAAGAAGCTATAGAAACTAGCATTCGGTATTGCACCTCTCCCGGCTTAAAGGGTGAGGTAAAATCCTGTTCCAGTTCTCTTAAGGAAATGATACAATTCTCCAAGAAATGTTTAAATGAAAAGAAATTAGTCGCGTTGACTAGCAAAAGCGCGAGAGGGTCGGAAGAAGAGCTTGAAATTCAAAACATCAAACAGTTTCGTGCCGAAAAAGTTGTGTCATGTCATGAAATTTTCTTTCCCTTTGCGACCTACTATTGTCACCTGCTGTCCTCCACTCGACTCTACGCCATTGATTTTGTTGATCCGGCAACGGAAGCTCCGGTAAACAGGATACTGGCAATATGTCACATGGACACGTCGGAATGGAAGGCAGAACATGTGGCATTTAAGATTTTGAAATTCTCTCCGGGACACAACGAAGCGTGCCACTGGTTCACTCAAATGGATCTTGTTTGGATCGCAAATTGATGCTGAACTTTAAGTCTCTAATTAAATGTATGGGAAACAATTCCCAACTGGTTCTCCAACTCTGATGAACTGATCGTTCGACGATCCACTTATGGGTTTCTTGTGTAATAATTTTGTTTCCCTTCTATTTATGTTGTTTTTGTGTTTACTACACGTCATGGAAATGTTTGGTTTCAATGTGTTGGCCAGTTTTTTCCAGTTAGGCTTTAAAGGATTTGGTAAGGATTTGGGCTAGATTAGGCGAAGTGGAAGGCCACGAATCAGGTTTTTAGTAGGCCCAACGCCCGACGTGAGGAAAAAAGCCTAGTTAGTGTTGTATTAGAATTGTGAACCGACTGGGGTTTGAGCACTATTTAAGAGATCGACGGTAGGAGGAAGGACACGATCAAAATAGCATCAAATTGCTTCTTCTAATTTTCAGTCTTTTATTTCCGATTTCATCTCTAAAGCTAGGGTTCTGTGAGAACTCCTTGAATTAGGCCGATTATCGGAGGTTGTACTTATTCCTCAAAGATTATAATAAAATCTGGCCTTTAGCCGATTCTTATTTCCCGAAATTCTTATTATTCAGTTTATTTAGCACAAGTTAGAAAGAATAACGCATAATCGTTTGGGAGATAAATTGCGTAATTCTTCTAGGACGAAAATTGTGCAAACATATTTTGGCACGCTCGGTGGGACAATACGCAGCCACAACGGATGTGATTCCTTCCGATCAATCACTACCATCGACAAGCACGGTGGCTCCAACACAAATGTCAACCCAGACCTTAAAGGGGCTGATGCCAGATGACTCACCGAGGCAAATAGGTACCAGTGAGTCCGTGCTTACCAAAGATATCATGAGCGCTATGGCAATATTGGTCGAACGAGTAAATTTGATGCAAGCAGAGTTGAGTGCCATTAAAGCTCCGGGACAATGACCAGTTACACCAAGTTTCTTAGGGCAAGAAAAGCAAACGAGTAAGATGCCAGAAAACTTCAGTATTAATCCTTTGCACTTTTTAGGTCGTGATACTCCAGGGTCGTTCCACCTTACAGTAGGTCTGTCTTTACGCTTGTCGGGTGAAATATCTGGTTCGAAACAAATGCCCAGTAGTTGGTATGACAAGGTGGTGCCAAGTCACCCGTCGTTTATTCCTCCATATGGGAACTTCACGTTCGACGGCAGATCGACCCCACCAATCTGTGACCAATATCAGCCGTATTCGGGGGTAGTAGCCACAAAAGGGGTACCTCCAGCCACTGAATCGGCCGGGGAGACTTAGACCGATGAATGCAGCCAACGGATGTACGCGGAAGAAACCGTTTGGATACAAGACCGGTTGCCCGACGGGGTGTTTTAGACTGATGACCCCATGCAAGGTTTTCAAAGGAGCGATTCCCCCTACAGCTTTGCAAACTACATCGACTACTGCACCAGCAACGGAGTCGGCAATAGTCAACCAGCAGACCCAGCAGTCGACGGAACAAAAATTGGTAGTTGCCGGTAACAGGTTGCTGACCTTGTTGCGAGGATCGTCAATGCCACCTCATCCTACAAGAGAGGTGCAAGAAAACCCATTGTGGACTGGTGTGGAACATGAACAAAATAAGAATCAGGAAGCCGCTGCCAGGATCGCTGCCACATGCTCTAATATAGCTCAAAACACCAATGTCCCAAGGTTACCGACCCAGACACCGACTGGAAACAAGATGCAGTATGTTACAATGGCTAATCAACACGGAAAATTTCAATATTTTCATGTGTTGCAGCTCCCTAATCATTACCCGTAGTTGGTGCCAGTGGTTAATCCGCCAATCGGTGCGATAGGGAATGGAACCTAGGTAGCAAGAACTCCTTTAGTGCATCAAGGTCCTCCACTTAATGGGGTACATAACCAGCCTCAGGAACCGGTGATCAATCAGATGGTTGCACATGCTAATAATAACCCAGCAAGCAATCAGGTACCAATGGCCCAAGGGCATGCAGATAACGTTGGGCAACAAGCGGTTAGGACAGGACAGGCGCTGCCGATTAATGCTAACCCAGCGTTGACAGCTGATCAGATTGAATTGCGCCAGTTAATGTCAGAAGTGTTGCGGCGAGATTTGGGGTTCAAGATCCCAGAAGTACCAGGAAAGCCGTACCCAGCCTTAACCAATTTGGAGCCTTTTTCTTGGAATTTTAAGATGCCTACATTAACCAAATTTTGAGACGATGGCACCAGACCGGAACACCATATTTAGACGTATGAGTTAGAATGTGGACAGCTAGCAAACAATGAATTCCATAAATTACGGTTGTTCCCACAATCATTGACCGACACGGCTTTGGAATGGTATCGAACATTAAGACCTGGATCAGTGGCTAATTGGGATGTTCAAAAGGAGTTATTCTTACAAAACTTCTATGTAAGCAAACCAAAACATACTATTGTAGACCTGCATGATGTCAAGCAAAAGCCTGCCGAAACTGGAGAGCAATATTTATTAAGGTTTAGACAGACGAGAGCCACGATACCAGGAGAGTACCCAGAACAAACCATCATTACTATGGCCATAGCTGGTTTAACCAATTTCCGATTGAAGTTTGGATTGACAGGAAGAACTTTCCCGAACTTGGGTGAGCTGGCTGAAGCGATTTGCCAATTAGACAAGGTCATTGCAGAGGGGGCTGAGAGCCGTAAGGGTCGTGGTAGACAGTGGTTTAATCCTCCTAACCAGCAGTCAGTGAATCAGGCTCAGTACTTTGGCTTAGTTTGAAGACATCAATGCGGCTGAAATAGTAAACATGAAAGAATATAAGCATAGCCCGTTGAGGAAACCTAGTATTCCACAAGCATATGGTATACCACCAGGATCGGGAACAACTATCGGTGCAAAGCCGTGTGCTCATCCTAATCATACGGGACGGACCTATTCATTTGATATCACCCAGGCAATCTTTGAAGACATGTTGAAGACTGGCCATGTGACTTATCAGAAGGGGCGAAAACAGCCAAAACCTGCCGATATTGAAGGAAAGACCTATTGGAAATACCACATGTCCATGACCCATAGGACCAACGATTGTGTGGTTTTTCGGAACGTCATACAAAAGATGATCGACAGTAGGGATATCCAATTGGAAGAATCGGTGGCAGTAATGATAGAACCGTTTTCGGTAAACCATGTAGCAGGAATGATAAATATGGATTTGCGGGCAGTAGTTTATGATAGACAGAAGATAAGTGTTGGTTGTCAGGATTGCGATGTAGTGGTTGACTCAATGAAAGAGCAAGTTTGCCGCCTAGGAAGTGTGAATGGTAGACATTTGCACCAACGCAAAATACTTTCTTAGCAGGCGGAAGAAGAAGTAACTATTGAAATTGACGGGCAACTACAGACTTGGGTCAGGAAACCACAAGTGCAGGAGTTACCAACAGAAAATAGCAATGTTATTAACACAGGTTCTTCAAAATAGGCATGTGGAGCATCCGAAGCTGACTAGTAAAGATGTTGATCAATATGCTGATAGATTAAGGTCAAGACAACCGGTTCATGAGCATTTGGGTCCACGTACGTCCCAAGGATTTGAGAAGGAAAGATTCGATCCAAGGACAGTTAAAGATTGGTTGTCGCGGACAGATTGTAGTCAGGGAGTTAGCTTTGGGAGATCTGCCCAACCATTTGTGCCGCCCATGAACAGTGCAGCGGCTCCGATAGTAAGGCCCAGTCAGGTTTCCGATAACTTGTGGCATAGAGTAGAGCATCCTAGATTTCCAATTCTGATATCAGCAAACAGTGGCATGACTCGGACTCAGCATCGAAGGTGGCAGCGCCAACGAGCAGGAAGATATCAGGATTCGAAGCAGAAGAGGGAGTTCGAGCAGTCGCCTTACGGTGCACGTAGCAAGCAGACTCGAGTAACCAAGAAGTGGCGAGTCAAGGAGCATGATAGCGTAGATGGTAACATGGTGTATGTACTCCCTAAGGAATATGCATATTAAGTTGACTAATAGGGACCATCTGTCGTATATGATAAAGGTAAGTTTTTTTGTGTGATATAGGTATATATCTTATTGATCAACTCTTACTAAAACTATTTACCACCACCACGATTACTACTACTACTACTATAATCATTGCTATTAGTGTTTTTCTTTCTGAATTGATTACCATTCTTATTTCACAAGAAATGTGCTCCATTTTAACAACACATTTATAGGTTTAGTTCCTGGGAGTCTACTCTAACCGTACTAGTCATATATATTTAATTAATCTATTAATTTTTAGCCAGTGGAGCTATATGGTCAAAGTAATTGATTACTTCATATCTTTCCCTTTCCTCTATATTTGTTTTCTCTTTGTGGAAAGGTAATTAATTAGTACTACCGGATGAGCAATTGGTATGCTACAACCATTTTGGTATCGGGATTAAGTTTTAGACTCCAAACTCCAAGTATAATGATCCCAAGTTATTAGCGTCCAAACTATTGAAAGCCTCATTCGGCCGTGGAACCGAATCAACCTTTAGCTTGCTCATCATAATTTTAAGTACCCATTTCTCTTTTGCTAGCTGCCGTCGGTATCTGATAATTGAATGATTTCAATTTTTATTCCTCAATATATACATACCACTCCCTCCCCGGATTACCTAAAGGCAACGGTTGATAATCAGTATCATCCAAAAGCATTATGGTTCCTTTAAATCTATTATAGTTCCACTACCCCAATTCAGATCTACGTTCAGAAACACAAGAAAGAAAATATCCACGTAGAGTTAAACACTAATGATAGAAGAAAGCAACTCATATCCATTTGCATCAAAGTAGAAAACAACGCTGACTACCACCGAGCTGCTCCTTCATTCAAGTTCTTCTCCCTCCGTCTCTCAATATTTATCCGTTATCTCTTTCTCTCAAGTTTCCTCGACAGAAAATGCTCCTTGTTTATCTTTTATCCAGAATGATAAAAGGTTCGGGAGCAATAGCACAGAAAGCCTAATGGTGCTGCGATAGTTACTTCAGCATAGGGGGTTTAAGGAAAAAGGAGGGGAAATGGATTCATGTTAATCATTTTGGCTTTATATTTAAACCCGATCCAAGCTAGAGCAGCTTAAAAGGAGGCGGTGGTCTTAAGCTTTGATCTTAAGCTTTTTGATTAAAATAACTGAGGTAGTGGTGAGAGTTTATAATAGTATAAAGTTCATTGACTTCTTTATACTATTAGCTTAAAAACCAAGCTGACCCAACTAAACTTTTAATTAATTTAAAAGGAAAATTAACTAGATAAAAGTGTGGCTCACATAGACTAAATTAATATATTAAAATGATCAAGAAAGGTTGGCAAAGCTGCTACTTGAATATTAGGGCGGTGGGGAAAATGGTTTTTTCAAACAAAAGTGATATATTTGAGCTTCTTTAATATTTTACTTAGCTACCTAAGTGATAAGGGAAACAAGTCTTAACCCAGCCGAAAGATAAATAGGATGGAGGCAAAGGAAATTTGTCAAGATAGTTTTGGTTCCAAGCTACAAAATGGGGGATATTTTAGAGAGATGAAGAATGAGTCCAACCCGCAATTAGAAGGCTTC